TCACCAATCCAAACAATCTCCAAAGGTTCTGTGATTTCTGTTGTGCTCAAAGAGCACCACATACCTTTCATGAGAGCACAGAAAAGATCCTAAAACACAGTATTTGCTTTGTGAATTCTTAATATCTCCAATGTGTTTTCATTTGTTTGTATATTCAAGGTCTTTGAAAATACAGAATTTCAGTGTTTAGATTTAATTCCATGGGAATTATCTTTAGCAAATTGTCCAACCTCAAAAAATTAAACAAAGCTTTTAAAATCTCCCACTATTCTCTTGCATGTTGTAAGAAGGAATACGCATTAAATGATATGAGAAGACTTAGCAACACACTTATATCACAGATTTTGTGTATCTCAGAATAAATAAATTAATATTAAATCACTTCTCTCTGTAATCATAACACAATTCATAAACTGGCATATGATGTTTGAGTTCTTCATCATACACATATCTTAATCACTGCAGTTTCTGCCTCCTCAGTAAACACTGGAACGGAAAAACATAATTCAGCTGGTGAGACACTTGAAAATATATTACAGGCACAAGTTAAGAAAAGCACAGTGCCAACTAACAGGTGATAATAATAATAATTAATAATTGCTTACACCTATATAGCACTTTTCTGGACACTCCACTCAAAGCACTTTACAGGTAATGGGGATCCCCTCCACCACCACCAATGTGCAGCCCCACCTGGATGATGCAACAGCAGCCATAGTCCAGCAGAACGCTCTCCACACAGGAGGAGGAGAACAGAGTGATGAAACCAATTCATAGATGGGGATTATTAGAAGGCCATGATTGGTAGGAGCCAATGGCATGTTTGGCCAGCACGCTGGGGTTACACCCCTACTCTTTTCGAGAAACACCGTGGGATTTTTAATCCCTTTTTACAGTATAGTGTCCCCGTCACTATACTGGGGCATTAGGACCCACATGGAGAGCCTCCTACTGGCCCCACTAACACCTCTTCCAGGAGCAACCTTCCCAGGAGGTCTCCCATCCAGGTACATTATGCCGAGCCCAGTTAACTTCCTTTTAAATAATGCAGCACAGTTGTATATTTGTCTGCAGGTTTTGTCTGATACAGAAACTTATTCAGAAAAAACACACAAGTTAATTCATACTAATAGGATTTTGATACCAAATTCAAAATGTGATTTTGATACCAACATTTTCTAAGAGATTGTGCAATGTGTATCTGACAAATGGAATACAGGTTAAAGTATTAATGAGAAATCTCACTCTTGTAATTTTTAATAACTAGTCTGTAGTTCACAGAAATGATTTTAGATGCTATTAAATTATATTTGGCATGCAAGTGACTTTTGTCTCACCAATTTAGAATTTTAATAAGGAAACTATTGGGTTCAATATGTATGTATGGCACTGAGGATCTAAGATAAAGACATCTGGAATTTTTTCCACTACACTGTTCTTTAATTTGAAAACATAAATGAACTGGTGTAATATTGACAAATTAATATTTAGAAGAAAGTCAGCATGTTGGAACCGTGGACAGACTGATCTTGTTGAAGATACAGGTCTTTTTCCACAGAAAGACTTTGAAAAATAATACTATTTTAGCAATTTGAAAAAAAAATGTTATGTTAAAATCATATCCCGAAGAAACCTTTAAATGTAGTTTGACAATGCACTTGTAATACTTTCTGGGTTCTATCATTCACTTACTTCAGGGAAGTACTGTAAGACTGTTGATTGTAGACAGAAAATATCAACATACTGTAACACTCTTGCCTCCTAACCACAAATTTCTCTTAAAAACATGATTAGAGGAGATGTAAATACAAAGAAAGGATCAAACTTCTAAAAACAATGCTTAATATAGGGATACGGAATACAAAATAAAATTCCATAGAATCCATTGAATTGTTATTAGTCTCAAGAACAATGATGTGTACGAAGGTGAGATTTGTTCTACCATTTTTAGGGGTTCATGTACTGTAAAGAGTCCAGAAATGGTTTCTGTGTGGAAACTGCGAGCTTGTTTGTCGTGAGAAATCCATATACAGTAAGCATCTTTTACAACGGCACTATTCTCTTGTTCTCCTCTCCTCCAGCAGACTCAACATGTTAACAAGCTAATATAAACTAACTGCTGTGTCAATGTGCAAAGCTCACTGGAATTAAAGTGGTAAGTCAGTGCAATGACGTTATTCTTGCTGTTCTAAGAATGGATTTATAAGTGTATATGTGCTTGTCTGTGTGAAGAAAACTGATGAAGTGAGTCAGTGTTTGATTTGTCAAAATCTAAGGATTGTTATTTTGAAGATATTTAGGTATTTAAAAATATTAATTTAAATGATGCATTAACCTTGTGATTTCTTCGTTTTTGAGCGTACTACAAAAAGCTGGTACAATCAATCATAAATTGTAAAAACAGAGATTTTAATATCATGCTGGAGTAGAACTAGATTTACTATCAAGATTTACTGTCAGAGCAAAATCCATTCAGTACAGAAGTTTTCTTTTTTTTATTTATGACATGAATTATTCGCCCGTAGCCACAAACTGAAATGAAAGCAAAACGCCTGACTTTATATTACTTTATACACAACAGACCTTTTATGATAAAGTTGCGTGATGAGGTATTTTCCTGCTGCCCTGTAAGGGCTATTTTCATTGAGGTGAAATATATGCAGAGGCTTGTTTGATTGCAGCCAAATATTGAAATTGTGTCTTTCCAGCCAAAGTGCTTGGATTATAGTCTCAGCTATGAATTAATTTTGTCTTAAAAATTCACCCTGAGGGAGCATACCCACCTACCCTGAAGCTTTTTTACACCAGTTAGAGTACTTTCCAAGTAAATCTTGACTGACAGGGAAGGATTAACAATACCTGAATCAGATATGTAATTATAGCTACAGTTCCACCCTAAAGTTCTTTCCTGAATGGTATTTTTCCCCCACATTTTCTTGCTCACAACCTCTGTAGGAAAGTCAATTTTCCATGAAAGGGCTTATATTTAAACTCTAAAAAAACAGATCTAATTAAGCTTTTCTTGCAGAAATATATGGTAACCCAAAAGCTATTTAAAGAATGGTTTTCTAAAAATGGGGTTTTATTATTTGTTTAAAATCCGTCAAAAATAAACATTTATACATCCTTATAGCCCCTCCAAACATCTGGATTTATTTGATGTACAATTAAATAAAATACAGCAATCAATAACCAATGAGTTAAACCTCTTCTGCAGAACTTCTGCATCCTATAGTTTCCAAAGATCTTTATTAATCTATTTTCGACAATCCTTCTATTTTCTTCAGATGCTGAGCATGTGTTATTTATTAGTTTTTTTAAATTACAACATGATAAATATAAAAACTATAATTTAAAAAAATCTAACTGATTCTTTACAAATTGCAATTTGTTATCAAGAAGAAATATGCATTGTAGTGTAGAATCTAAACTATAATGAAGCATCAAGAAAACATCAAGCCGAAAGTTCCCTCCCGCAGCCAAGATTTATGGTTTTGTGCTTTTTTAGGGATTTCGGGTCTCCTACTCCAGAAGAACATAAAAATCAAAATAATAAATAACCTTGGATCTCACCTCCCTGCTTCCCTCACTAACACACTAATTTCTTTTGTAAAATCACTCAATTCATGTACAGATTTTAGTGTTTCACACCTCTTTCCCAAATCACCCTTCAGATCTTTACTCTTTCTCACCTGCATCGTCCCTTTTCTCACCTGCTCTGTTCTTTGTTCTCCTGTGCTTCACATCCCTACCACCATCCTCTTTCTCCCTCACACCTCAAGAAGGCTCATCGGGCCAAAAGTGTTTGCATTTCTGCCTTTGAGTAGGAAATAATCACTACTTATTCCTTATCAGGAAAATCACCAGCCATCTGTCAGGTAACAACTCTCACTTACTTCCTTAATTGTTCCAGTGGGGAAATTTACTTTACAGGCAGGTAAAAGACATAATACAATACATTTATCACAACATGAACCCGTAAACAAATGAGAAACATGCACGATGAAAAAATAAATGTATAAATAACGTACAATATACAACTAATGGTAAAATATACAATCAATTATTCAAATTAAGCAGATTAATAGCTGTATTAATAATGGAATAAAGAATAACTTATTCCTATTGCACTTAAATCTGGTTAGTGTAAATCGACACCATGCTGCAAGAGCTTGTATTTGCTATGCAAGAGGGAAACATGACAGACAATGATTACTGTCCTTCTGCACTATTTATTTGATCTCTGACAAATGTCTGTACCTCTTGTACACCAATGATTTTGCTATCTATCTTCACTGTCCTACTCAGTCTGTTTTTATTGCATGTATTAAGGCTACCAAACCAGGCTACTGCAGTGAGTGTTAGAATATATTCAATAAAAGTTCTATAGAATAAAACATGTTGCTTTGAAAATGCCATGCTTTTCCTCCCCGTTGAACCTGTAATGTATAAATCTTCTCAGATCTGATACTGTATGTCTGCCCTTCCAGAGCAGGATGAACAGTTAAAGAGCGGATATGGTTCTTTTTCAAACTGCAGCACCTTGTAGGTCATAGGCAGACATTTTCAAAGCAGTATGAAGTATGCATGGGGACTATTCTTATATGTGTCAAACATGTAATATATCTGCACATTTGTGAGTCCAGAAGAAAATATGGTAGAGAACCTTGATATTTTTGTCACCTTGAAAATAGTCATTATTAACATTGTCATCATTCAAATAAATCTCTCAGAAAAGCTTTCTGCATGCACAGTAGGTGCTTTTTCAAGACTTTTATTTTCTCACATCTACCTTTTTTGCATATGACAAAGGAGTACAGAACCTGATGAATTACTAAAAGACACATTAGAACACACGTCTTGTTTAATACAGCTCCTGTCTGCAGGGAGTTTTTTTTTCCAGCTTTATTTCTTTTCCATCTTGGAGGGAAATAGAGAGACAGCAGAGAGAGAGGAAGACAGAGAGGGAGGGGAGGGGAGAGAGGCCAGCCCACAGCCCCACACAGCCTGAGATGTGTTTGCTGTCTGCCCTCTAGCTTTACAGAGCTCATTTTTATCAAATCCAGCTAGCATATGCAAGCAGTTTGTGGACCACACCATTGGTGTAGAGAAGTGCTTTGTGGTGCACAGAGAAATATTACTGTATTCTTCAGTTCTGTACAAATTCACCCTCCCTGCTCTATTAGAATGAAGAGCTCTTGAACAAACTGGATCAGTATCTCATGAAGTAGAAGAAAAGTTGAAGTGGGGGACAATCTGAAATCCTCTGTTCTGCCTGCTGAATTTGGAAGGAAGTGGGTGACAGACTTGCACAGGTGTTGAATTCTTCTGTTTATGGGTGAGTCTGAAAACGCCTAAACCAGCTGTCTTGTAACCATATTTGAATCATCCTGAGAAGGGTTCAGACTAAAAGGTATGCTGTGCTCTAGGGAGAAACAAGTACAAAATCCTTGACGGAGAACCACTAGGCTTGTATACTGCTTTTTAACAAGACTGCAGGCATCAGAGGCAATGAGAAACGGTAAGGTCCTGCAATTATTTAAAGACTTCTGTGCATCTGTGAAATAACCTGTGCATTTGAGCCTGGAGTATTTAGTATATAAACAGCTAATACAGGGGAGTGAAATGATCTGTCTATCTGCACAATAAGACATACTGTAAAATACATCACAATCTTAAGAACAAAGTAATTTTAAAAGTTTATTTGTTTTTGTTTTGTTCTGCATAAATACAATACAAAAAATGGCATATCTGTGGTTAGTAAGAAACAGAGAACGAATATTTTTTTAACAGGCCTATTAATACTGTGACCCAGATATTCTGCTCATGATTCAATTCTGAATTTTTAAGCAGCTGGTTCTGTTGATATGTGAGGCATGCTTATCTGACAGACACCCCATACAAAGAGTGTTCTCCGCCTTAATCATTTCAGGCATGAAACAAATGGTTTCAAAAGACTGGCAAAGGTTGAGTCATGACTGTCTTAACAACTGCCATGTCTGGAAATTATCCACACATACTGCATACTGCTGAGATTATTTTGGCTGCATGTGCCTGAGATATGTTGTTAAAAGATTTTGTTTCTAGGTTTTGAGGCATCCTGTATCCTGATGAATTTAAAGATAAAGTAGCACATCATCCTATTTAATATATCCTAGTAGACAAAACAATTAGGATATGACTATCTTGTACTTTGAAACCTAAAATAAGATCACAGAATCTGCAAAAATAAAGTTGTTACAATACTGTACATGAGCTGGAATTGTACATGGATATGCACATAAATGTATTCCCTGTAGGGTTCCTCTGTAATAAAAGGATTTGTAGATAATTGTTCAGATGCACAATATTGTTGTTACAAGGCTAATCATATTGTATCATCTATGCAGCTACCATTGCATCTTTTGGATCAGGTAAATTATTTTGAGAGACTAACATTAAATCCATTGAAAAATGACATATGCAATAAATAGTTCGTACAAGGACCAGAGCTCACCTTGGGTTTTGTAGTGTTAAACAGACTAGAGTGCACATGACTCCCTAGCAATGTACAAGTTGGTGAAGTGGAGCAACTGGAGTACAGTACCTCATTTACAGGTGCAATGGCATAGTCTACAGTAGGGACTCTCAAACTAACAGCCACAACCTGTCAGTCAGGAGTGCAAGGGCTGACCAACTACACACCACACACCACACCCATGTCACCCCCACTCAAATACACAGGACACCCAAACGATTTATGTCAGGTCAGTTTATTGTCCATCAGAGGGAAGCTGGCTAATCACTATGCCTCACATTTAGCCAAGCTAAAAATCACTTTGTCATGGGCCACTTGAAGCAGTTGCATGGTTGCAGCAGTTGAGACTTTTACTGAAGCCAGAATGACCTCACTGCTGGAAGTATTTCCTGTGTCATGCCAGACCTTGGATGGTTGGCTAATGTCTTTCTTAAAGGCTGTTAGAAAATGACAAACAGTATCTGTTTCCTAATGCCCCAGTGGTACGAATGCACGGTTTTAATGAGGACACAGTAGAATGGTATTTTCAACTCCAGTTCATAGCATTTGAAAAATAAGACTGAAACAAGTTTCGTAATGACAAAAAACTCAAGGATGAATGATTGGAGGGGCAGATCAATGTCAAGCAAATCCCTTTTAAAAGAAATACTGTGTCATCTGCTGGTATGGAGGCTGTGTTTTTGTTCACATGCAAATGTGAACGTATAGATAATACGTATCCTATAATTAAAAATTATTTTGGTAAAATAGTTTTAAAAGTTGACATCTGAGCCTTCAATGACAAGATTTTCATTAAAAAAGATCCAAATGTTGCTTTTACATTATAGCTCCTATGCTTACGTATTATTACCTAGATTACATTGTTGTAGTTAGTTGTAGAGTTAAATATCTAGATATGGTAAATAGTATTCAGCTCCCTTAAGATAGTTGGTAATTAGGAAAAATTATTATGATTTTAATGCATGTTGTTACAAATATAGACATTAATGGTGGTAGAAAGATTCTTAAATGAACATATTTGTGAATCAGAAATTAATCTAGCAAAACCTTAATAGCATCGATTAATATATGATATATTTTAGAAACATATGTAAGCCTGGAAATGTGACCATGCTGAAGTTCACTTCAAATGTTCACATTACACTTCAACAATAAATTCTACTGTAGCTCTATTTTAATTAAACCACAACAGGAGGACACGCTTCCAAAATATATTGAGCATGGGAGGAAATTCAAAAGATGAACACAAGTTGTGGGGGAGTCAGAGCCAATCCCAGCAAACAGTAAGTACAAGGCACACACAGACGAACACCAGGGCCAACTTTTGCAGAAGCCAAATTACCTACCAATGTGTTTTTTTAGACTGTGGGAGGAAACCAGTGCACCCTGAGGAAACATGAACACAGGAGGGCATGCAAACCCCATACAGACAGCACCTCAGGTCTGGAACTGAACCCAGGGTCCCAGTGCTGTGAGGCAGTAATGCTCACCACTACACAACTGTGCAGCCCACATAAACGCAATGTGTTACACAAGGTTTACTTAGAAGTCAATACCTCTGCACTGAGCACAGAGTTCCAAAAAGAGCTCTACTGCAGGACACCCAAGCTACGTGTACATAGTGAAGCAGACAAATATGACTGTGGTTGAATGGTGAGGTGCACCTGCATGGAAATGGCCATCACAGGACACAGGGGAAAGAAATCACATTGAGTAACGGGCAATTACCCTCAATCTGGCGTTTAACTGTGAAGAATGCACACACAGAGGCTCAAAGTCATCTGAGTAATCCAATTAATGAGCACCATCCTGGTGGTGTGTGAGAGGCATGCACTTTCCTTTAAAATGAGAAGATCTGGCACTGTTGGGAGACTCATCAAGGCTCAACACAAAAGCAGGAGCACTTCTGTGAACAGTTGTCATGGGTAAATAAAGAAAACAGACAGATAGACAGATTTCTCTTTTTTAACATAATCCAGGACATCAAGCATACCCTCTTTACAAATCTCCTGAAAATTAGAAGCTGTGACTTGAAAAAGAATATTTTATGGAAAAGAAGTTGTCACAGCAATGTAAATCAAAGGCAGAAGGCATGCCTTTGACCCATTTGTTTTCCATCTGGGGTGTTTTCCAAAACTATCAAAGTAGTTTAAACTTTGTGAGACTTTACTAAAGGTAACCTTTTTTACAGAAACAGTAGAAGATTCTCATCACATAAAAATGGCATTTGATCAATGAATGATGCTGATATTCTGTCTACAGATTGTGCCAGTGATTCTGGCAAAAGAACACCCAATAACACTGATAACACACTGCCCTGTTGAGTAATTCTGCCCGGGGATATCACTGGCCCAGTATGAACAGAAGCAGTCGGATTGCTATAGAAGGTGCAGTTCATATTGATAGAACAGCCAAATGCTAAAACATTCTAGAACAGACCTTAGTTTCATTCCAGGCATTCCAATGCCCTTACAGCATCTAAATAAAACTGCACTGCAGTCTAGCCGATGAGGGGCTTGTTCTGGAATATGGAAGATCAAATCAGTATTTCAAAAAGCCCCTTTAGTTATAATGTATTAAATGGTATATGCATGGTTCCTACCGCTTAGACAGAATCTTTGCTAACTATCCATTTCTAAGCCCTTCTTCCGACGCAGGGCTGAGGGGGATCTAGGGCCTATTCCAGCAAGCAATGGGCATAGGCAGATGGAGAGACAGACAATAGAAAATAAGTTGCTTATTTTTAACACTGATAATATCCATAGTTAGACCACTTCAATGGGTATTGCTCTTTATAATACAATTTAAGATAAATTTTGGTTCCTTTTACTATAACCAATCTGCAGCAAAGGATTTGCTGAATTTAGTATTAAAGGGTCAAACTGAGCCCACAACGCTAACATCAACTAAAGAAATGTTAGATGTGCCATAGAGTTTGTAGGCTGTTAACTCCTGCACAGTTATGGGAGTATCTGAAAGCTCAGCCTCTTCAGGAGTACGTTTCCATTTCAGTGAATTTCAGAATTCCTTAATCTTGGCCAAGCATGTACTAGCTTCAGAAGTCTCATAGTTTACTAGGAGTGGACAGGCGCATATTTTGGGTCCACACTAAAAAATGTGTGATCTTTAACGTTATTTCTGAATTGCAGAGAACCATATACAGTTCAATACTGTGCAAAAGCTTGAAATAGGTTTGAGGTTGAAGGAATCCAGCACTGGTTTAAAAATCATATTAAGTATTAAAGTATCCCCATATAATGAGTGCATATTCCAGAACATTCCAACGACTGTAATTCAAAAACTTAAGGTACATAAATTAAAGACATACACAATTTATACTGTTATGTGCTACCATCACCTAAGAAAAACAAGTCTTCAATATCACTAAGTTCCTGGGGAAAACTGAATCTAAAGCCCTCAGAAAGTGAAGCTGTGTAGCAGTCATGCAGGATAATGTCTCTGATGGTGAGTAATGATGAGGAAAACTTAAGTTCTGGACTTTAGCCTCCAAGGTATGCAACTATCATGTTTTTCTCTTGTTTCCCTGCTCAATGCCTGATCAATTCTGCTTATCTGGCATCTGCATATCGCAGCTGTACTTCAAAGACTACCCTGGACTGAACATGAAAAGAATCATAAAAGTAATCATATCTGAATATTCCACTGCATCGTCTCTTTACACTAAGCATCGTCTTTTGAGCTAAAATTAAAGAAAGCAAAAATGCATGGAATGGATGGCATGATGATATGGAATTGTGTTTCTGTTTTAAAATCACAGTCACCAGAAACCACAGCACATGTCTCTGCTGGCAGACAAACAGCACCTTCGGTGTCATATATACACATCCAGTAAGGTTCCTCTGCTTGAGGAACATCAAGGTGATCACAGCTGCCACATTAAAAAATAAATGAGAAAGGAAATGAAAAGCAGAAAGGGGGACCTATGATCTGCAAAAGCACAGCTACCTGGCATAACCTCGGGGCAGCCCAGCTCGTTAATCATCCTCTTTAACAGTGGCTCTAAGGTCTCTCTACCCAATGCTCAGATTCAAACCCAAGTTTCTATGATGGAGATGATGATGATGATGATTATTTATAACTGACGTCTCAGGGTGCTCGTTTTACATCTCCAGAGCCTGTTTTCTGTTCTGTTTTCCATATCATCATTCAAAACAAAAGGACCCTTTTGTGGCCAATTGTTTAAATCTGTTTAAGGATTAAACAAATTAAGTATTTAATATGTGTATTCAACACTGAGGTGCTGACTTAAATATGCTAAGATGCTAGATACCACACCCTTGAAATCAAGGAGCACACAAGGATAGAACTAATAGAAAATTTAACATAGAATGTATTGCACTCATATAGTATGTCCTGCAGGAATATAAATACTGTATTTTATTAATACAGCACTATTGCAATGAAATATAATTTTAAAGGCAAACATACAAAATTGAGAAAATGTTTTATTTTGAGTGTGTTCTGTTTGAACACCACCTACCACCCATTGTCTGAAATGTGCTGCCATAATATCAAAGAAAAGGAGAGAAAAGAAATTAAAATGTTACACAGAAGTGGTTCATCACTTCTCAGCTTTATTATAGTGAGTGTAGCTCAACCACATTTAAAAAAGATAATAATAATGTGCATCATCTGTGAAAAATAAAATTTAAATAAATAAAAGGATGTTCTAGGTGTAAGGATATTTTTTTAAATAGGCTGCTTTCTTTTTCTTTTAACCTCTTCAAAAATAGATGTCCAATTCAATAAAAAGGTCTAAGAAAGTCACTGAACTTACTAGAGTGTATCTCTCAGCAAATGCTGTTTCTCCCTCTTTCTTGGTTGAGGGAGTTTTTGATCCCTTGTAGCCTTTAGTTCACTGATGTCTGTTCAGATAATAAACCTTCCCTGGAGCCTTGAAAACTGCATGGCTAGACCTCAATATTTTACAATTGTGATGAAACAAGTTGCTTGGTACCCAGACAAATTGTGTGGGAGTGCTGTTATATTTGAACAGGGAGTCTAAAATGAAGCCCTTTTCAGTGCTGAACTTTACTCCGCAGATTAAAAAGTAAAAAAATATATATTTTGAAACACAAAAAAAAAGACGTTGTAAAAAGCATTTTCTCTTTGTTCCACAGTTTGCTTTCTAACAACACAGAGCATAGGGGTTTACTGAATTACACAAATGGATTGCAAATGTATCATGGATAATGTGAAATATACTGTAGTTCTGCGATTTTTTATATTTATTGTACCATTTATATTAATGAGACAAGAAGCACATTAATATTTGCAGCACTGGTAAAAAAGAAATTAAAAGAACACATTGCATTTACCTCTTATAAGCAGCAGCTCAGGACATTCGCATGTTCATATGTGCTTTCTGGCATTGTTTTTAGAGTGTGTTCAGATCTAGGGTATAACTCTGACAGCATTCCAGTCAAGACTATTATTTCACTTGTAGTTGCACTTTCCCTAGGGCTTATAAAGGGCTTATCAAGGCAATTAAATTAGTGCATTTTGAAAGATTTTTACAGCTGCAAGTATGTACTCTGTTATAAATATATATGATTTCTCAAGGCAAATTTAACTCAGCACATATGCACCTATTTTCATTTGCATAAACTGGATACAGTGAAAGTAAGGTCAGATGTTTATGAATTCCATAGCTTTTTTCCACTGGGAAAAGTGGTTTCTGATGCATGTTTGCATTTTATTCATTGGTGCTTTTCTTAAAAAAAAATGTCTTCAAACCTCAGTATTTAATCTCAGTTGCCTCCATTTGACCTGAAAACACCCAGTCTAGTAGGAGTGTTGCAATCCATATTCTTGACCACATTGACCACAACATTGTAATTACACTTTTTATATACATTTCAAAATTAAATACATTTTCTTAAGACATTTGTTTTCTACAATACATTGTGTTCTAAGTATGAAACTTTCTACTCATTGTAAGGTCCAGTTCAACCTTGTTAATGAAACCCAGAAACATATAATCCTTACAACATGATCCAGCACATTCAAAACCCAGCTGAATTCTTCAGGGAGAGCTGTGGAGTTTGAACTACTTCAGACTGTCACGGTGAACACAGAGACCTCAGATTTTCTTCGCCTAGCAATAAAAGAATGTTAATGTTTTCACAGTCATACATATTTGGTAGAGTTAGCCTCACATACATTTCCGCACCAGGTCACCTCAGAAAGCGCAATGCTTCATCTCTGTGGGTCACTGGTTACAGACCTTTGAAAGTAAATATGCCTATATAAGGGCAATGCACTCCTTCCACTTTTCTCTGTGTCTGGGATGTGAGCAGCAGCCTATTTCATGGAAATTGTACTTATCCAAATAAGCCACACACCCAGGTCTAACCAATCTTAAATTCAGCTGTTTTGTATTATAACTTATAAAACAGCAGTTTGAGCTTCATAGACAATTTATAGACTTTCTCCAATAAAGCCCTGAAGAGCAGCTGAGGTTTCTAGATGCTAGTGCTGTAAACATAGTTCTATTTTATGTCATAAACATGATAGCGGTCTTTAAAACTCACACCAATATATTGAACAAGTTTGATGAGAAATTATAAAACATTTAGTTTTAAATCAGAAGCCATTTTTACACAACTATAAGTGAGCACAAACATGGCAATCAGAGAACAGCATGGGGATGTTTTAGCCCTGTATGTTTACTGAAGTGCAGTTTTCATAACACAGCTGATGCAATATACGAAAAGAGATTAGAAGCACCATAGTGATAAAACAGGTCACAATCTGCTATCTTTTAGATGTGAACACAAAAAGCATATATCCAATTTTCATTATATACTGTATATAGAAGTATCATATCATAAAGACAGTGCATTAATGTTGAAAACCAATACCAACTTAATTGACTAAATTTGATTTTCTAATTGGTTGTTATAAATCAGTAATAAACAATTCTGTAACAAGTTTACATTTACCATAATGGGAGCTGAAAGTCAAGACTTGGTAACGTTGGGTCCTTCGTGTTTATTAAGTTAATGCAATATTATTCTGAATGTGTAGTATAGAGGAATAGAGGGAGTCTTGCTCCAACTTGTGGTCATGCTCTTGCTCAAACAGGACATTTACAGGATTCTTGCCCAGCCTTTGAAAAAATGTAGTTCAGTCTGTAGAGCAGCTTTTTCTACGTTAGGATACATTGAAGAGCTTAGTGTTTAACTTTTTGCTAACTTTCCTTACTTACCACCAGTACTCTTTTTTTGACAAAAGTTTTGTAATGAAAGTCATGACATGCAAACACATAAAAGACACTAGGCTGCTTATGCTTTATGGCTCTTGCTACACCCCATTGAAAGTATTGATGTAAAAGGAAAGTTTAGGTTTTGCTTAAGGTTTAATGCGTTGGAAAGTTTTCTAGAGCCTGGAGGGTATAATGGTGTAGACAAATGACGAACTTCTCAAACCTAAACATAGAGCTGTCAATACCATGCCCCCTTTGTTTCATTTCTTTTTGAGCATGATTACACAAATCACAAAAGGTGATTAATGAAACATTTCTATCTTTTCCTAGCAGCCTGCCCTATGTGTTTGAGCTCCATGCCAGATGGGACTGAACCAGGAAGGAGTGGCTATTCGTAGCACTGAATTCCCTTAAGCGAGTGATTAACTGGCTAGCATAAAAAGGTTTGACAAGACTTTAGAGGCCTTGTGTGATAAGAATGTGACAACACGGCTGCCAGTTAGGACCTTCATGTGAGGATCTACCCACAGGGCACTGTCACGGGAAGATTTCAAACTTGTTTCTTATTAAAAACGTCTTCATATTAAGGATGCCGGCCAAGACGCCCATTTATCTCAAGGCAGCCAACAACAAGAAGGGAAAGAAATACAGGTTGAGGGATATCTTGTCTCCTGATATGATTAGTCCTCCACTCGGAGACTTCCGACACACCATTCACATTGGGAAAGGAGGGGAGCAGGACGCCTTTGGAGACATGTCTTTTCTTCAAGGGAAATATGACCTTCTCCCAGGTAAAGAAGAGCCGGTTGCTCAACAGCATGTTGCATGCAGTGAGTTCTTCAGAGCAAACAGCACCTCTGATGCCACATTGGCAGAGACTCCTTCTCCTGTATTAAAAAATGCCATTTCCCTTCCCGCGATTGGTGGTTCACAAGCTCTTACTCTGCCCTTGCTCTCCACAGTGGCATTCACCTCAACCCCCGAACACTTAGACCCAGTACAGAGACTCCCAGTCACGGCCGAAGCCAAAACAGAACTGGGGAAATTAGAAGAGAACGAGCTCCGCCTTTCCATGGAAGTTCTTAATTCAACCCAAACTCTCTTGACGGAAAAGGCACCGAAACCAAACCTTTCATCCTACATGCCAAAGGAAAAAACAAATCCACTTGAAAATGATAAATTACATCTGAGAGATAATGGATTTAAAAACACTGCACGCAGTTACACTAATGGCAATGGCGCAATTCTTCATTCTTCAGATATTTCTGGATATTACGCCGATTGGTTGAAAGACAGTACTGCAGAGGACAGTCGCCTGTGCGACTCTGAGTTTAAACTAACAAAAGGGAAAAGTGGTTCAGGAGACTCCATTTCAAAGATCACTGGCTCCCTCCTGTCACTTGAACTGGATTTGGGACCTTCTATTTTGGATGAAGTTCTTAATGTTATGGATAAAACAAAGACGACAGGCAATCAGTGATTTAATTGCAGTATAGGAAAACAAACAAAGCAATGGGCACAAAGACTTAGGCATATCACCACATGCTTGAGATGTGGACTGGAAAAATACAGGAGTGGCAAGACTATTTATTTACATTTTTTTACATTTACCTTATTGTCTGTCTTTTGTACCTTTTTTTGCGTAGCTTGCAAAAAAAAAAATGCTTTTCAACACCCTCACCCAATTCTGAAAAAACTGACAAAAACGTTTTACAAAAAAACTATAATGTGGACTTTTTTCTTTCAGTTTGACAAGTGCCTTTTATTTTTAGCAGGTGAAATTATCCATTTCCGTTTTCTGTGTAATTGCCTGTGCCAATGCCTATGCCAGTGATAGATGTATATCTAATGCTGTACTATTGCTGTACTATTGTACTACACTTTGTGCTGAAGTTGGGCATACTGTTAGCTTCCACTCTGTTGTTGTACTGTTGTTTTGTAATGATTGTTCTTCAGCCTCATTCACTTTTCTCCTCAATAATTGTTTTAATAAGGGACTATTTACTTTTGTCTCTCCCTTAAAATAAAATGTGTTACAATAAGCACTCTCACACATGTTTCTATTTATCAGGACAGTGTCATTACCACTGGAAATTCAAAATATGTGCTATATCTGAGACATTATTGGTGAAAAAGTCATGTATTTGGTGTGGGCTATTTCTGACAATAGCCATATATCAACAGCACAAGAGGTATGCCGTCAGCTTTGATTAACTGCTTTAAGTTTGATTGTTAAGTGTTGACCCTTTCAGAATGTTGTTTCATTTGCAAAATGGTTTAAGAGGATGTAAAAGTGAAACAATAAACCTCAAGCAAGTATGAATCAATGAAATAATGTTCATATCCAGAGATATTTAGGGTACACAGTATTGCAGATACATCAGCAAAACCAAACAAATGTTAATCTACTGCATATACTGTACATGTATAATATTGCCATACAGTGTATACCGTATAAATGTATGCTTACTAAATGTATTCTCATTTAGTGATCTACTGTACTGTGATCTACTGTACTGTACCACAGAAACAGGTGAGGACAGGTAGAAACTTTTCTTTCCAAAGTATTGGTCAAATACATTGCGGGCCTGGGGTGTTGACTGTCCTGCCTACTACATTCTTAATTTTTTTTAGGTTTTTACACAACATTTCAAAATTGTATTTAATCTATTAATAAACAAACCACCATCCTGAGCAGAAAAAATATTGACATACTGTGTATATATTATAATATAGATATTGAATATTATTATATCTGATGTTTTTATATAGTTTATAGTCATCTTCTAGTAACACTGAGAAAATGATAACTACAAAGAAAAATTAAATACCAGATTCTGTTTCAAAAGCTGGAGAATGGCTAAGTAATGAACAAAAAAGACCAAGGCATCCTTGCTCTCTGTAAGGATTCTGAAGACAGGGCAAATTCCTTTGCTTTCAGAGACTGTTTTTCCCTCCTTCAGCATTCTTTGCATTCCCGTCTGCAGCTGTCAACAGCAGGAACTTGTTTGGGATGCAGCTTCTATTTCAAACAGGCAGGTCACTGTTTGTTTGCCTGTAGCACTGACATGAGACCTACTGGAGAAGCCCTTCAATTTCCCCACATGACGGGTTGGAAATTCAAGTGGTAAGGTCATAAATCAGCTGAAGGGCTGGGGCATGTTGTAGGTAGGGCAGGAGGTTGAAGAAGTTCCCATCTCATTGCTCATATACTAGTTATGTGTTCAATATGTATGTATAACTATTATAATATAATAATCCAATTAATAATGGTTTTGTACAGTATGTGCATATGCATTCCACATAACAACCACTTTATTAACCCTCTACAATTTCTTGCATTAGGAATTCATTTTTTCACATACCCCAGCTTGCTCTCCATGAGATACACAGACAGGGAGAGAGAGAAGCCTGGGGTCAGAGCACAAGGTCAGCCATTGTACAACACCCCTGGAGCAGTTGGGGTTAAGGGCCTTGCTCAGGAGCCCAGCAGAGTAGGATTCCTCTAGCAGCTGTGGGATTTGAACCAGCAACCTTCCGACCACAGGCACAGATCCTTAGCCACAGAGCCACCACTCAATTTTAAGACATCATGTATGTCTTATATATATGCCCATATACTATATATGTCTGTCTTCCAGCTGAAATCAGGAAATCTACGATTAATGCCGACTAATACTGTAGTTAACAATAGTTAACAGTATGCAGTTTTATCTATATAGAGGTGGAAAAATCCTCTTGGATTGTGGGGCCCATGTGACTTTAGGACAAGTGGTAATTTGCTCCTATCTTCAATTTTTTTTCAGACAGTTTTGGCTGCTTATATTCTATTTTTGCAAAATTATAGATTTTTAATATTTATTCATATTTTATTATTTTATAATTAATAAATTATTGTTTGTCAAAAGATCGCATTCTATTTATACAATACAGATGTACAGTATTAAGAAAGCTGGCATGAAAAAGTGGATTTCACCCTGATTTCAGTTAAGAATATGGATTTTTTCATTGTTAATAGTACTGTACAGCTGTTCGTAGATCTAAATGTTCTATATTCCTAAATGTTTTGATTGATGTATAGCATGATGTATTTCCAGCAGCAGTGCCTATCAGCCTGAGAAGCCTCAGGATGAGAATGAAGTGGCTGAACACAGAAACGGGCTTTTTTAAGGGTTAAAAAAATGTGAACATGCAGTGTGGGAGCAGGGTGTTACAATTAGGGTGTGGACTCAAGTTTTGTGGTTCATTGGATCCAAGTGGACTTTCGTCAGATACTGCCCTATAATCTCCTTCGCCTGGAGCATTTAAGAATAGTTCCTCAGGATTATCTTTTCAATTTTATTGAAGCGGACGTTAACTGTCTGGTTAACCAGCTTTTTCTAGATTATGCTTGTTGGCATAACAGATGAAAACGACAAAGCACATAATTTACCTTCTGCCCATGTTTGGTTTCTTGGATAGGTACATGTACAGTATGTATCTTCTTTTTATTTCCCTTAGTGTTTACTGTGGAACTCAGTATGTTTTTTGGCAGGTAGCCTGAAAGTTACATTCCACAAGTCACTTTCACTGGATGCACTTGCTTTGCTTTCTTTGGATCCTTTACCTTGAATTAAAGTCGTGGGTGATGGTGACAATGATGAATGTTATACATGCAAGCCACCTTAGATGTTAACTTTGGGTGTTATTGAAAAATAACACCTAAAAATACCAGTATACAGTTAACAGTCACTTTCTCAACTTTGAGAACACAAAACATTGTCAATCAAGATGTAAACCTTCCATTTGCTGGTTTAAAATTTCAAACTTCACTAGAAGTGATATTCATTAAAAAGAAAATTTCTTTTATGAAAGTTTTTGTGAGAGAGAGGCGACAGCATTTTATATGACTCCTTTTTGAAAAGCAACGAAAGTATTGAAGAAAACAAGAACTTGTGTATCTGGTGGATTTGAAGGTCTGTGCTTTTGTTGTAGGCTTTCAAAAACAGACAAATGCAGGTTTCAACAGCACGGTGAAAGACTCAACAGTGGACTTAGCCAAATACTGTATGTGGAAGTCTGTGTAAGTGCAATAAATGTTATCAACTCAAGTCTCATTTTCAAGAATTATTTTTCTCTTCTGAAAAAAGAATGTCAAAGCCTTAACTTTCCTGTTCGATAATTAACTGAAAGTTTAACAAAAGGCTGCCTTATGTTAAGAAAAAGAACGGAAAGTTTTTTGTAGTAAAAACACATTGAAATATTTTCTCTGACCGATTCTGTTAAAATCAATTGTCAGTGCAAAAAAGGAAGATGTCTGAAACATTGATAATGAACAGATGGGATGGATTTCTAAATTCAGCAGTCAATGAAGCAATAAATAAACTATTTCACAGTTGGTAAGAGCATCAGAGGCAAAATGCTGCCATATGGGAATCTAATTGCCTCATGATTTAATAGTTTATGTAAATAGGATTAAACTGCTGATGGAATGCATTAGAACTGACTTTTTAAACTAAAACAATAAATCAATTATAGTGTTTAGAAAACATTCATACCATATTTAGTTAATAAGAAGGAATGTTTCACAACACATACAACACTGTACATGGGGATATAAAAACAAACTATAAGACACAGAACAGGGGAATTAGATTCTTCCCAGTTTTGTTAAATTAACTTTAAATTCTTAAGATAAACAAATCATGAAAAAAAATTCAACCAGACCCCTTTTCAGTTATTTAGCCATATTTCCAGCATCGAAAGCTTAAAAAAAATATTTGAGATGGTCATTTCTGACTGCAATGCCGATAATTACAGGTTTTGTTGATGTTGTTTAAACTAACAGACTCATCCCAGATGCCTGGAGGAAGAAAAAGAACTTCTTTAGCAGTTCTTTTAATAGCTCTGTAGAAAATAACACTTTTATTTTACGATCCTTGCAGGGAACAGGCTGGCCTTTCGACCTGGAGCAACCTCAGCTCAAGATGTTTCGGCTTCCATGCCCCATACCCAGATGTGAACACTTAAAATAGCACAATTATACTTTGAGCATAAAACACATCAAGCAACGCATTTGTGCATAAACAATAAGGTCAACTGACACTACAATTTCAGCTATCATATCGTATAATATCTATTTGATATGGGGCGGAGCGGTGGCTCTGTGGCTCAGGATCTGCAGTTGTGGCTGGAAGGTTGCCAGTTCAAATTCTGCAGCTGGCAGAGGAATCCTACTTCGTTGGGCCCTTGAGTAAGGCCCTTAACCCCCACTGCTCCAGGGGTGCTGTACAATGGCTGACACTGTGCTCTGAGCCCAGGCTTCTCTCCCTGTCTGTGTGTCTGTGTCTCATGGAGAGCAAGCTGGGGTATGTGAAAAGATGAATTCCTAATGCAAGAAACTGTGTATGGTTAATAAAGTGATCTTATCTATAGCACCTCATTGGGAAAAAACAAACAAATGTACCCACGTTTAAAACAGTGTACTTCCATATTGCTCTCTCTGTCATTTACAGCTACGGATCTTAATCAACTCTTGCCATATCACAGTGTTTCATTGTCATTACAATCTTACCGTTGCTAATTCCACCCATTGCTTATATACTGTCAGCAGCCACAGACAGCTGTTTCTCCCTTATTATGGCTCAGCATGATATAGCCACTTATTAACCAGACACATATAT